GTCCTCTGTTAAAAGGCTTAACCATTTGCAAAATCTTTGATATCGGCCATGATTTCTTCCTTTCTTTGGGAGTCTATGGCAAATGTCTCAAACGTGACGGGGTCATTTAACGGAATTGCTTCCCAGGGGTGGCCGCGGGAGTCCAGAGATCTGCTGCCAGAGTTGGTGTATAGTAGGCGATCTTGGCTTTTCCGGAGAATCTTGATGGCATTTTCTAATAAAATCAAGGGAGGAGCCGAAGACGGTGAGTGTGAAGGAGAAACTCGTGCTTCTCCTCCGGCAGCAACTGCCATGTGAAGGAGATGCACTGATGGAAGTGACGACATGCTCTGAGACGATGTTGATGCCATTGTAGGATTTTGACAAACGACTTATTATACTAAAATTACTTAATTACCCTTATACTTGCCGGGAGTTTGGTGCCTTAAGTAACCGAAGGATCAAAATGGTTACAAATTTGATAGTCTAAGGATGAAATTAGCCAAGTCAAAATGACTAGGACCGAAAAAGTGAAGTTAACATAGTCAAGAGACCATTTTGATAATTTACTCTTATTGTGAATAATTAAGGGTGCAAATGTAAACGTTTCATGTTATGGTTAAATTTCATGTTATTGTGAATAATTAAGAGTTAAATTTGAATTTTAGTTGACTCGAACTTTGATGTAAACGTTTCATGTTATGGTTTAATGAATTAGTTACTTTCTTTTCAAAAAAAAAAAAAAAACTCTCTCTATCACTTCATTATTTGTTATAATAAAATTAAAATCATGTAAAAAAAGTATTTCTTATATATATATTTTTAAATATCATTAACTCTATTACAATACAGTATCTGTTATGAGACTCAAACTCACAACCTCCCATGTGGGAGTTCAACTTGGTACCATTGGACCACAAGATTATAGTGACTAAACATTTATTTAAAAAAATTAATAATTTAGAGATATGAAAATTATTTGTGAAAAAAAAAAATCTCTTTCTTTTCAACATCTATTGATGGGATATACCCCTGCTTGTACGACTGTGGGCCGACTAGGTATAAACATCATACGCTGCGTTGGTCAAGTCCCGAGCAAGTCCGACATAGTCACGATCTAACCCAACTCGAGCTTGGACACGAACTCACCCCACCGAGACAATACTTGTTGATACCTTTACCCCCTGCACTCAATATGATATTCTCAAGCTTAATGATTCAGATTACAGACCAATTACCCAGAGAGTAAGGTTTTATGCTAGAGGGCAGATACAACCAAAGGTACTCTACCCGAGCACATTGAAATTGGACATGGCAGGAATCTCCTCGCATGTGGACGTATCAGCGATGCCTTTGACCTCCTCAATGCATGTGAGACACGTGACTAACAAAATCCCGGCATGTGCCCCTTCAACCCTCCATATAAAGCGCATTTACATCACGTTTGGTTCACGGAATGAATTTTGAGGTAATAGGAATGTTATTCCATAAGGAATGGAATATGCAAGGAATAGAATAGGAATTGTATTTTATTATTTGGTTCGCGGAAGGAATAGACTTTAGGAATTATATTACAGTGTTTGGTTGGTTTAAGGAATAGAAGTGATATATGTTTTAAAAGACATAAATATCCTTATAAAAATATGTGGTGTTGGTGGTGGTGGTGGTGGCGGTGGTGGTGGCGGTGGTGGTGGTAGTAGCAGTGGCGGTGATGGTGATGGTGGTGGCAGTGGTGAGATACACACACACACACACACAAAAGGGTATTTTTGTATTAGAGTACAAAATTTATTCCCAAATACTTGGGAATAGTTAATACTAGGGGGGTTCCCTAGGAATGACTATTCCCCCCTGCAAAGGGAATAGTTCATTCCCGGGAATGTTATTTCCAATCATGAAAAAACAAACTAAACAATGGAATAAATCTATTCCTGAGAGTGGTATTACATTCCCGACCTATTCCATGAACCAAACACGATGTTAATGCCTTATGCATAAGGTCATTTAGATCTTTCTCATCAGTGACATATTTAAAATTGGGACCCTCTGTCCTATTGTCAATTCCCCGAGCTCGCATACTTACATTAATTTACTTGCATACACCAACTTGTTTACCACATCATCTATAATTAGGGAAACCATATTTGTTACAATTACTTTTAATGTTTCAAAAATAAATAAAAATTCATATATAATTTAGAATTTTTACTGCACAAACATTTATTTATTGCATTTTGTTTGTTGTTGTTTTTTTTTCTTTTCTTTTATCATGTCTTTTTTTTTTTTAATTGTCTAAAATCATGAGTATTAACTGAATTTGCATTCACTTTAAACATCTATTACCATAAAAATGATCTAAAATATAAATTACGCGTCTAGATGATCGAGTAAGTTGAATATGATCCTTTATTAGAAGATTATATGTTTAATTATTACCAACACCCAGAATACAGTACATTCTAAAAAATTAATATTCTATTTTTTTTCACAACCATTCTACACTAGTATTAGGATAAGAATCTGGCACCAGTCAAAAAAAAAAATTATTTGCCATTTAATTTCGTAACTATCCGCGGCCAATATTTCTTCTCCCATCACAAGCTAAAACATTAAAATTTGGAATAAATTAGTATTTATTTAATAAATTGGCCGCTATACAAAACATATCTGATCTCATAAACATCTTGATTTCTGGGAATTATGAAGCTTTGCATTTTTAATTTCATAAAAGTTGTGCAAAAGTTAAGGTTGGCTTCCGAGAAACCAGACTCCTCTGCAAAACCTATCAACCGTGAATTACATGCTAAGGTTGACCACCAGTCAAGATCACACCACTTTACTAAGACAACTTTAACGTAAACCACAACCTTTACAATCTATAGTTAACAGCTGCAATACTTAAGACGTAGGTTTCACTTCAAAGACTAAGACATTGATTTCCAGCCTAGTAAATACATGCATAAGATGATAATATTTTTTAACCTTTAGTACACTGTAGTAGTGGGGTATAAGAAGACTTAGAGAGACAACAGACAAGAAGACTTGGCAGTTGGTGGTGTAATTAATTTGCATGCACTATCAAAGACCAGTCACCAACGTTGTCCTATAGTTGATTAATTCATTCGGAGAAGACTTTAGTTTGCACTGTCAAGAGGTGCATGTAAAAATACACAAAAAATTAAACCCTTCTTTCACGACAGCAAGAAAAGCGATGCACATTTAAAAACAATTAAATTTTATAGACATCTAGACGCGAGCTTCACTTTGGAGTGTACAACACTTTGATTCACAACCTAGTTGTTGATGATAATGTTCGGATTTTTGTGCAATATTATATTTGTTCTCTCCCTAATAAGACAGACTGATTTCTTGCTAAAAAATTGAGTACAACGAACAAATAGGATGTTCAATTTGCAGTGATTGAAATGTACAACCTATTAATTTATATGATTATGCCAACATATTTTAATATTCACATTAAAAATTTAATAATATTGACTTCTTATATAATTTATTAATAGATGTGGAATAAATTAATATTTATTTAATAAACTGGCGGCTACACAAAACATATTGATTTCTGGGAATTATGAGGCTTTGCATTTATATTTTGAGTGGCGGTCAACCTTTGAAATTGGAGATTACATCCTATGAACGTGAATTACAAGCTATTATTGGCTTCTCATCACTTTCTCAGAAACCAGAGTTTTCAATTCTGCAATATCTATGTTGGGAAAAATCCCACTACCTGTGATAAATAAAATCACAGGACCGACAAGAGCGCAAATACGATATGGTACAAAATAGCCAAAATAAATAATAGACACAGGGGACACAAGATTTACGTGGAAAACTCCAAAATCACGGGGAAAAACCACGGACCACCACCAACACAATATTCCACTATAACAAATCTTGGGTACAAAGTTGCTGGCTACCACCCGAGCCAAACACCCTAAAAATATCAAATACAACAACTCTAGGCCAAATACATTCTATCACGTTCACAGGCCTAAAAATGAATAATATCTCGTATTCAAAATATTCAACCACCACGAGCAAGGTGAATAGAATACAAATATTACGAGAGTATCCAAAAAGATGCCTGGAACAAATAACTGACCTCTACAAAATATTTGATAAAGAAAGTACCCCAAAGATCTCCGGCAAACTCACGGAAAATTCATCAGACGTGCGACAAAACCTGCCGACACACGCCGCCGCCGTGCCACCAAACAAGCTAGGCAAACCCACGACAAAATAGCACAAAAGGAAGAAGAAATAGATGTTGCTCCTTCAACTGCTACGTACGGCCGTGAACGAACAAAAAAGAAAGAAGAATGAATTTTTCTTTCCTTTTGCCTATTGCTTCAGCCGAATGAAGAAAGAAGAACCTTGTGGAAATTTATGGTGTATTTGAACAATGAATATTGCTCCTTTTATAGTTGTGAGTTGCTGCCAAAATGGAAGAGAAAGAAAGAAATTGTCAACCCTTCACATGCATGCCAAAAGCATTTAATTTTCCCTCTTTCATGCTGACAACCGAAATGGGAATTGAATGATGAAATCCATTTTTCAATCTTGTCACATCCATGCTGCAAAAGTAATGTGAAACAAAGAAAAAAAAATTTCCTTCTTCTTCACATCTGCCCCAACTTTCACTTTTCAACTTCTACCCATATCAGTATATCACATTCTCCAAGACAATTAATAATTGTCAGCAAACTTCTCCAACAAGCTCACAAATATATAAATATATTATAGTGGATAAAAATAGGCTTGGTCCAAATTGAGCTATTTACCACATAGGAGGGAAGCCCCAACCCAACAATCTATAACACACCGTGAACTATAAGCTAAAGGTTGGCCGCCAGTCAAGATCAGACGACTCCGACTCACATCATGACTTTAACGTAAACGACGACGACCTTCACAATCTATGGTTAAATTTATCCCTGCAAGTCTTCTAACGAGCTGCAACTATAGACTAAAGAAACTTGATATGTATATAATCTCATGCATTCACTTGAATTCAAAGCATCCCAAAATTGTTATAGATTGAGCCTTTAGTTTGTGCAATATAATGAAAACTCCAGTCCTTGAATGCCGCCTTTTCTTCTTCATATCCTCCTGCTTGCTGCTCCAAATGGTGGCAGCCCAAGCCCCAGCCCAATGCTTGAGCCATCAGAAAATGTTGTTGTTGCAGTTCCGGAGCAGCCTCAAGTTCAACCCAATATATTCAACCAAGCTTGCGCGCTGGAACCACAGCACACATGACAACTGTTGTGTTTGGGCTGGGGTGGAATGTGACACCTCAGGTCATGTCATCAGCTTGATTCTCGACAGTGAAACCATTTCAGATGGTATTAACAGTTCAAGTGCTCTATTCAGTCTTCAATACCTTGAGAGGCTCAATTTGGCTTTCAACACCTTCAATTTCACTCCAATTCCAGTTCAGATCTATAATCTTACCAACTTGACATATCTCAATTTGTCAAAAGCTGATTTTGGAGGGCAGATCCCGAGTGGAATATCAAGGCTCACAAGGTTGGTAACTCTTGACCTCTCAACTGATACCGAATTGGAGTTTAATCTTAAGATTTCAAATCTAAACCAATTCTTTGAGAACTCCACTCAACTTAGACAACTTTATCTTGATGGTGTTGATCTTTCCAGTACAGTAGTACTTCCAAAATTCTTAACCAATTTCTCTAACCTGAAGACCTTGAGCCTCAGTCAATGTAATCTTCAGGGATCATTTCCAACAGAGATATTTCAGATACAAGGTTTACAGGAATTGAGTTTGGATTACAATTATGATCTTAGTGGCAGATTCCCATCATTTCCTGAGAATGGATCACTTAGGATGATCTCAGTAGCAGAGACTCAATTTTATGGTTCGTTGCCAGCATCCATGAGTAACCTTAGCAACTTGTCTAGGATCGATCTCAGGTATTGCAGTTTCAGTGGATCAATTCCCTCTACCTTGGCACAACTTAGGAATCTCACTTATGTTGATTTCTCTAATAACCACTTCACTGGCTCAATCCCACATTCTCTATCGTCAAAGAACCTTATTACCATAGATTTTTCTTTTAATGGCCTGGCAGGTCCACTTTCTTCTAAACATTTTGAAGACCTTTCAAAAATTGTGTACATAAATTTAAGGTCAAATTGTATCTCTGGTAGAATTCCCCCATCTCTGTTTTCACTTCCATCATTGCATTTTCTAGATCTTTCCAACAATTTATTTGATGGTCTTGTTGATGAATATGTGAATGTATCTGCCTCACAATTGAAAAGTCTCAATTTGCGTTCTAATCGTCTAAATGGGTCATTTCCAATTTACTTCTTTGAATTTCCAAAGTTGAGTGTGCTGTTGCTTTCTTCCAACTCCTTAAGTGGAAAGATACAATCATCTCTATTTTTACTTCCATCATTGCATATACTAGTTCTTTCCAACAATTCATTTCATGGTCTTGTTGATGAATATGTGAATGTATCTGACTCACAATTGGAAAGTCTCTATTTGAGTTCTAATCGTCTAAATGGGTCTTTTCCAGAGTACTTCTTTGAATTTCCAAAGTTAAGTGACTTGGGTCTTTCTTCCAACTCCTTAAGTGGAAAGATACAGTCATCTCTGTTTTCACTTCCATCATTGCAGAGGCTAGATCTTTCTGACAATTCATTTGATGGTCTTGTTGATGAATATGTGAATGTATCTGACTCACAATTGGAAAGTCTCGATTTGAGTTCTAATCGTCTAAATGGGTCTTTCCCAGAGTACTTATTTGAATTTCCAAAGCTGAGTAAGCTGTTACTTTCTTCCAACTCCTTAAGTGGAAAGATACAATCATCTCTATTTTCACTTCCATCATTGTTTACACTAGATCTTTCCAACAATTCATTTGATAGTCTTGTTGATGAATATGTGAATGTATCTGACTCACAATTGGAAAGACTTCACTTGAGATCTAACCATCTAATAAATTGGTCATTTCTGAAATATTTCTTTGGATTTCCAAAGCTCAACAGATTAGATTTGTCAGACAATGGAATTAGAGGGGAAATACCATCTTGGATATGGGGAGTGGGTAATGGAACTCTATATCATCTAAATCTTTCCTGCAATTTCTTAGATGGTCTTGAAGAACCTTATACAATTCCAAGCAGTCTTACTGTACTTGACCTGCACTCCAATCAATTGCGAGGCCCAATACCAATTGCACCTACCCCTACTGATGGATATAGTTATCTTGATTACTCACACAATTGTTTCAATGGTTCCATCCCATCCGGTCTTGGAAGTTTTGCTACAAATGCTTTTTTCTTGTCTCTTTCAAATAATAGCTTCACTGGGACAATTCCTGAATCCATATGCAATGCTAGCTCTCTGGATATACTTGATCTATCCAAAAATAAGCTGAGTGGCATACTTCCATCCTGTCTATTTAATAGTTTTGAGCGTCTTCGAGTATTAGACCTTGGGAAAAATCAAATCCATGGTAACATACCAGATTCCTTTACAATCAACTGTGCTCTACAAACATTATACCTGAGCAGGAATTCCTTTGAAGGGAAGATTCCAAAATCTTTGATTAATTGTTCATCATTGGAAGTTCTGGATATTGGGAACAACAAAATGGTAGATACCTTCCCATGCCCATTGAAGAACTTGTCAAGTCTTCGTGTGCTAGTCTTGCAATCCAATGTGTTCCACGGTGACCTGCACTGTGTTAATGCCAATCATATGTGGCCAAATCTTCAGATTATTGATATTGCTTCCAATAATTTCAGTGGAAATCTCTCCCCAAAGTTGTTAAATTGGAAAGGAATGACTATTGATGAAGATACTGCGCAAGTGGGACAATATATCATGTTTTTCGATGGTAGGTTTCATATTGGTAATGCATATTACCAGGATAGATTAATGGTAACCATGAAAGGGATGGAGATGGAAATGGTGAAAATTCTCAGAGTCTTCGCATCTATTGATTTCTCATGCAATAATTTTCATGGGATTATACCGGATAGCATTGGGGTTCTCACTACACTTTATGTTCTCAACCTATCACACAATGCTCTCACAGGGAATATCCCCAAAACAATTGGAAATCTGAAAGCGATTGAGTCCTTAGACCTTTCAGCAAACCAACTAAATGGAAAGATCCCATCAGAGCTTGCGAAACTCACATTCCTTTCAGTCTTGAATTTATCATTCAACAGACTTTCTGGTGTGATTCCAACCGGCAATCAACTCAATACATTTGAAGCAAGTTCCTATTTGGGTAATCCAGAACTTTGTGGTCTTCCTCTCCCAAAAAGTTGCAAATCACCAAAAACTTCCAATGGCGGCCGATCTGAGATAGAATTTGATGGTGGCCCCTCTGAGATCAAATGGGAATATGTAACTTGTGCTTTGGGATTCGCTGTGGGATTAGGGGCGTACCTATGGATGCTTTTGCATAACAAGAGATGCAGGGAAGCATACCAACAACTTGACGAAGTTTTAATACGGCTATTCGGTCCCCGACAACGCGGAAGAAAATCTCCAGGACCAAGACGCAGAGTTCGCAGGAACAGGTTCTGATAACTTTAAGCTGCAACTTTCAGGTAATCTTGATTACTTCCAATATGGCATAAATTTTTCATATAAACACCGTTGATCACACACCAAACACTTTTTCATGTTTATCCACTTCACTTTTGTAGGTATGAATGCAGACTGCTGGGATCAGTGATTATGGTGGTGATACCTCTCATTGCATGCATTTTTTTGTGTTATTATCATCTGGACAATATTTAAGTGTAATAACTTTTGAAGGTGTTGCATGTTTTTGTGCTATTTTTTTTAATTAATAAAAATTTTAAATCTATCTTTTGCGTTTGTAAGTTTTCATGTTGTAAATATTTTTTTGCCCTAAAGTGAGTGATTTCATCTGTGATAATTGGGGCTGGGACCTGCCAAAACTCAGTGACATCCTCTTGCATGATCTCGTTGAGTGTATTCGGGCGATTCCAATCTTGGCTAACTTTGTCATGGTTGACAAGTTTTGTTGGCAATCTTTGTCGTCATGTAAATTTTCGGTTCGTTTTGCTTTTAATTTGATTGCAGGTAATTAGGAGGGGGGAGAAGAGTCTGCATGGATATGGAAGAGTTTGCCTGGATATGGAAGATCAATTGCATGGAGAAAGTGAAGTTGTTTGTGTCGCTCATGGTCAACTAGAAGCTTCTAACTAACATGAAACGCTGCAACAGGCACTTGACTGACAACGTGGATTGCCCGGTGTAGGGAGGAGGAGGAGAGCCTTGATCACCACTTCCGAGGTTGTATTGCAGCACGAGACTGTCGGCGTGCTTCTCCTAGCCCGACATATTGGGTTAAGGATAATTGCTCTAGTCAAGAATGACTCAATGATGGGACAACTTGGGGGTTGAATTCTCCTACACTCTTTGGGGGCTGTGGAAGGCACGGAACAACAAAGTGTTCAATGAAGTTCGTAGGAATGTCAAGGAGGTTATTGATATGGTTAGTGTTCTTGCGAGAAAAGCGGTAAGACTCTTGGCTAAAAGGAATACAGCTTATGGGGGTGAAGCCATGTGGATCGGTGGTTAACATGGGTGTCACAAATAGCTTCTTTGCTGAGTTGTGGGGCCTAAGGGAGGTTTTATGACTTGGTAAAGAATGGGTTTCGGGCTGTTAGTTGCGGAATTGGACTCAGAGGCGGTGGGTCAAGGTAATGAGTGACAACCATGACCTTAGTGACTTTGCCATCACGCTCATCTCTGATTGTAAATTCATTGTCTCAGGATTTGAGGGGGTTATCTTCACGCAGATTATGAGGGAAGAAAATATGTGTGCTGATTTTCTTATCAATCTTGGTCAATTTGCAAAAATGAGAATGACAGTTCTTGAGGCCTCTCCACAAGATATGTTGAGGCTCCCGATTGTTGATGCTAGCAGAACAAGATTTAGAAGAGTCAAATAGTGTCCGCTTTGGGAGATGACAATTGTCACCAAAACAAAAATATTAAATTAAATTCTCAATTTAGTCATATATTATAACAATATTTTTTATTTAATTTAGTTTTTGACTAATAATTTGATTTAATTTTAACTTCAACTTTAATGGTTGTGTCTGATTTATTCATTCATCTAGAATTCCACCTCTGCTTCGAACCGATCATTTTCTTTGACCCTCTGAACATGGTTGATAATATAATGCATGAAACATTCCCCTGTACTGATAAGGAGAATTTTCTGTCTATACAATAATTCAGCCTCCAAGCATGTCCATTGGGTATGCATGGCAATTATGCCAGCACCAAGGCACAACAGATCAGAGGAGTGAGCTGAGCATCCTCATTGCCAAGTTGCTCATGGTGTAGCCATAATATACCATTTGAATAATCCTCTGAAGCCTATAGTAATATGTTTAAACGCTCTAAAGGAGCAATAGTTACGTTGTTCGTGACTCGCTGCTAGCAACACTTAATAAAATAAATACTTGAGAAAAGAAGTTACAAAATAAATGAAGCATCTTTTATCCCTCTATGTTGTTATGGTTTATGGAACAAAATAGTTGTTCAAGATATAGTTCAGTCCTTGTAATTAGTTAAATCGAGTCTGTACTAATATTAATATGGTAGTTCAAGACAAGTCACTGAAGACTGAACATTAAAGACTAAACACTGAAGGTTGAACCGGAATCAAAGATTGTTCAAGACAAAGTTCAAGATGTTTAATCTGTTATAGATTATTTTGGAAGGAGTATATAAAGACTTGTTCGCCTCTTTCACAAGGTGATTAAAGATTTTACACAGAAACTTTCAGAGACAATGGTGTGCAGATTCGATGAGCTAAATTGAGCAACTTGATGATCAAAATTCAAGTCAAGTTTATCTTCAACTTTTGGTGCATTCAGGCGGCCTAATCACACGAACCCAACCCGGGAGAGCTACAGTTTAGGAGGAGCCTTAACTTGGTTGATCAGGAGATCTTTCACTGATTCTTCAAGAAGTAACTCTCCTTTTGAGGGCCATGGTGTAGTCTAGGAGATTGGAGTTCTATGCTCAATCACTGTGTTTTGGTAATTAAAACGTTTAAAGTTGATCTTGAATGAAGAATCAGGCAATTGTTCGTGTGGTACACCCAGACATAGGAATGGTTTATTAAGAACTGGGTTAACAAATTCCCTGCGTCTCCTTATTGCTTGATTGCTTGACTGTATATTTGTATATGTGAACTTATTTTTGCAATGCTCTCTGAACTAGTTCATAGGCAAACCCCACGACTGCACAGTTTCTATTCATTACTTGTTGATTCAATCTGTATTGATCATTATTACACAAGTGACTGGTTTATAGATTAGAGTTGTCCTAGATGAAATAAAAGCGCATGGTGGGAACTGGGAAGGGTAGAATGAACTATTGAAGAAATAGAACACTAGTGTTGTAAAATTGGACATATTCTCGCGTGAATCTTATGTAATTATACACTCAAAACTATATAGAGAGACCAGAAAGAATAATAAGATGAACTCCACAACGCAGGACACAATTTATAAATTTTTAAAAAACATTTATAAATTTTAAAAAACTTTTTCATATTAAAAAATTTATAAAAATCTTTAAAACCCTAGATTGAATACACCTTTACACACATTTCATAACTTCTATTAATACATTATTTATAATTTGATACAAAAACTTTTATAATATATAACATTCCTTATATTTTTATGTAGGTATGTATAACACTTATCAATCACCAGTGTGGCAGTGTCCCACAATTGAATAATTTGGAGAAGACTTTAATTTGCACCGTCAAGAGGTGCATGTAAGAATATTCAAAAAATTATTCTTTCACGGCAACAAGAATAACGATGCACATTTGAAAACAAGTTTTATAGACATCTAGACGTGAGCTTCACTTTGGAGTGTACAACACTTTGATTCGCAGCCTAGTTGTTGATGGTGATGTTAGGATTTTTGAGCAACATTATATTTGTTCTCTCCCATATAAGACAGACTAATTTCTGGGAATTATGAGGCTTTGCATTTATATGTTGAGTGGCGGTGAACCTTTGAGATTGGAGATTACATCCTATCAACGTGAATTACAAGCTATTATTGGCTTCTCACTTTCTCAGAAACCAGACTCGTCGTCTTCAATTCTGCAATACCTATCACCGTGAACTATAAGCTAAAGGTTGACCGCTAGTCAAGATCAGACGACTCCGACTTGACATGATGACTTAACGTAAACGACGATGACCTTCACAATCTAAGGTTGGCAGCTATCGAAGCCAAAGTTAGACTAAAGAAACTTGATATGTATATAATCTCATTATTCACTTGAATTCAAAGCATTCCAAAATTGTGATAGATTGAGCCTTTTAATTTTGTTTAGTTTGTGCAATATCATGAAAACTCCAGTCCTTGAATGCCGCCTTTTCTTCTTCATATCCTCCTGCTTGCTGCTCCAAATGGTGGCAGCCCAAGCCCCAGCCCAATGCTTGAGCCATCAGAAAAAGTTGTTGTTGCAGTTCCGGAAGAGCCTGGACTACTACTCAACCTACTCAACAGCTTCAACCAAGCTTGCTCGCTGGAACTCCAGCACAGACTGTTGTGTTTGGCCCGGGGTGGAATGTGACATCTCAGGTCATGTCATCAGCTTGATTCTCGACAATGAAGCCATTTACGATGGTATTAACAGTTCGAGTGCTCTATTCAGTCTTCGATACCTTGAGAGGCTAAATTTGGCTTATAACCAATTCGATGCCTTTTCAATAATTCCAGTTCAGATCTATAATCTTACCAACTTGACATATCTCAAATTGTCAAATGCTGGTTTTGGAGGGCAGATCCCGAATGGAATATCAAGACTCACAAGGTTGGTAACTCTTGACCTCTCAAATCTAGATCTTGAGATTCCAAATTTAAACCAATTCTTTGAGAACTCGACTCAACTTAGAAAAATTTATCTTGATGGTGTTGATCTTTCCAGTACAGTAGTAGATCCAAAATTCTTAGCCAATTTCTCTAACCTCATCACCTTGAGCCTCAGTCATTGTAATCTATCGGGATCATTTCCTAGAGAGATATTTCTGATACATGGTTTACAGGAATTGAATTTGGAATCGAATATTGATCTTAGTGGCGGTTTCCCATCATTTCCTGAGAATGGATCACTTAGGACGATCTCAGTAGGTGACACTCAATTTTCTGGTTCGTTGCCACCCTCCATTAGTAATCTTAGCAACTTGTCTAGGCTCGTTCTCTACGGTTGCGATTTCAGTGGATCAATTCCCTCTACCATGGCACAACTTACCAGTCTCATTTATGTGGATTTCTCGCATAACAAATTCACTGGCTCAATCCCAAATTTTCAATCGTCAAAGAACCTTACTAGCATAGATTTTTCTTTTAATGGCCTGACAGGTCCACTTTCTTCTAAACATTTTGAAGGCTATTCAAAAATTGTGTTCATAAATTTAGGGTCAAATTATATCTCTGGAAGAATCCCCCCATCTCTATTTTCACTTCCATCGTTGAAGAGGCTACATCTTTCCTACAATTCATTCGATGGTTTTGTTGATGAATATGTGAATGTATCTACATCACATTTGAAAAAGCTCGATTTGAGTTCTAATCGTCTAAATGGGTCATTTCCGAAGTACTTGTTTGAATTTCCAAACCTGAGTGAGCTGTTACTTTCTTCTAATTCCATAAGTGGAAAGATACACTCATCTCTGTTTTCACTTCCATCATTGACGGCACTAGATCTTTCCCACAATTCAATTGATGGTCTTGTTGATGAATATATGAATATATCTGCTGTCTCGCAATTGGAAAGACTCGATTTGAGTT